TAAACATTAAAATACCTATTGAAACTTTGAAATACGCATCAATAGGTAAAATTTCAATTTATGTTTTGATGTTCAAATGGAGTCTCTATGTGAAAGTATACCACAAATGTTATTAGCATGTAGGCTAGCTGAAAACCCGATTTCAAGAAATGTGTGACTTGGAAAGAGTATGTATTGCTTGGAGCTTTCAGGGACAGAGTGGGGAACGTCTTGCACTACGGCAGATGAGGGTCACGCTGGGTGGTGAGGGTCACGGTGTCTGGTTTGGGGCGGAACAGGTTAGAACCCGCAGATTGCCGCTCGCGGCTATATTTTTCAATGTTTTCACTGACAAAACCACACACAAGCAACATTTTCATGCCATTTCCCCATTAATTAATTGTAATAAGATTATTTATGAATAAACTACTGAACTAGGAATGGCAAAAAATCGATCCAAATATCCCCAGTCACCTTTTTGAGTCGGGGTCACCCCTGCAGTCGAGATTTGTTACTGTCTTACCAGTTTATTACTGCAGGGACACCTAAAAATATTAAGTACAATCCAACATAACACTTTCACCTCCACTGACATTAAGATTAGCCTTTATTGATCCCCAGAGTGGGCATTCAGTGATAATAATTAAAAGGGGGAAAGAAAAAGTATTAGAAATGCTGCTCAATATTGTGCAGAACAATTAAGCAGCGCTGCAAAACTGCAGCCTTCACAATGAAAGTCAAATCAGCGCCTCTCTGATTTTGTTGCAGCATGACTGAATGAACTAACCACAAAGCCTTAGTCATGTTACACAACATTATAACTTGGCTCAATTGTTTCAATTTTGTCACCTAAACACACTCGGGGGGAATCTTTTATGGCTTTGGCCCGGTCTGAATCTGCAGTGACAGGTTGCTTTAACACTGCAGCTCAGTGTGTTATTGCTACTTCTCTGTGTGATCCTTTACTATTTTTGTCTGGTTCACTTCTCTTCGTCCTGCAATGCCAAGGGCTGGGAACCCTTCTTCCACATCATATTTATTATCACAAATCACAAGTCTAATGAATGTATTTACATTACATGATAATGTGTTACCAAGACAGAAGAACAACAGCTGGCATTGAGATGGTATGATGTGTTTAATCTCACATGTACTACTGTAAGAGAAATGAGTCTTTTGTCCTGACAGCAGTTTGAGCCTTTACTTGAAGCTTTTAATGAAGTCAGTGCAGCTGTCATCCTTTAATAGGATTAATTCATATTATATCTCTGTGACAACTTAATTGTCAGAGAGATGCTGGGATGTGCTGTCATATATTCATGTCCGTAACAAGCCGACTAAAGTCCAGTTTGCTGCTGACAGTTTGGTTTCATTCAGATGAAACAGGTGTGGATTATTTTCTGAACTCTGTTTTAATTAATATATATACTGCCGGAGTGTGAAACACTGATAATGATGATGATTAGTGAGCCCCACATAGTGAGCATGATGTGCAAAGAGGCTTTGATGCAAATATAGCAGATAGTAATTAGTTCACTTCACTGTGATATACCTTTCCTCTTGATGACGCGCACGTCACCAGGAAATCCCTAACAAAATATAGCTTACATTGTGTTCATTAAGTTCATTCAATAACCTTGTTAACTTCCCCATTTCCTGCAAAACAGGACTTCACAGTGACAGAGGTGGGTGATGAGTTGGCGCCTGACACTTGCAAAGCCTTCTGAATTTGGAGGCTTGTGTGTCAATGCTGTATTGTTCAAAAGAAAACTTTGATGTTTCTCAGAATCTGTCATTTTTTCTTACCCTAGAGTTGCCATAATCTTCTGTTCATGTTCAGAGATCTTCAAATAGTAGAGCTAAATATTAAAGGAGAGACAAAGATGGTGTAAGAGGTGCAAAAATGTGAAATAGCAGACGCTGGATCAGAATTATAACTCTCAGGAAGACTTTATGTTGTCACAAAAAGTAAATGCTGACCAATCAATAAAACATATCCAAAAGGAGAAAAATGCTTAGGATAAAGAGGAATTAAACCCAGTAATTGCTTTCAATAAACAGTGCTTATGAGAATTGTTATAAATCAAAGTACAGGGACATTGTTCTAAGACCAGTAGAAACCAGTTGAACCATTGTTCAGCATCTATAAATATGAGATAATTGGTATGACATCACGTAGTGTGTTCGTATATCTACATGTTATGATTAAGGTAGCATCACTCATCAGGCATCACTTATCTTACCTGAAGTTAATATGATTTTCAGCTTTACCATCTGTCAAAGGAAAAACTGTAAAGCTCTGCATTGTTCAGCCGACCGTGAGCATGGTTTACGCCTTCATCGAGCTGATTCTCAGCAAGATATATAATTCAGCTTACTACCAACCTGCTACTAATTGCTTTGCTTATCAATCTTCAAACTCACAATACCTTTAATTTCAAATAGAGTCCCATATTCGGCTTCTCCCTATAATATGTAATATAGTAATTGCCCTCTCTCCATTTGTAGATAGGAGTATTTTTGCAGCTGACAAGTCCCTGAGGGTACATAATTATTTCTCAGTTTTGTTCAGTTCTTTTATAGCACTTTATCATGCAGCGCAAAACACTCCCACCCCCCTTTGCAGAACTCTGATTAGACTCTTGCTGAGATTCAAGCGTCTCGCAGTTTTCTTTAAGCATTATACCCAAACAGAACTGGTTCCATATCTTCAGCATGTTTTAGCTGTTTGTGTCTGTATTGTACAGTTGCTTAGGAAGCTATGTATTGATGATCAGCTGTCACGGGTGAGCTAATTGCGTGTGTAATCTTGAATTGTTGCATTCGTAGTATCATTAAAGACAACACACTGGCACATTACTCTACATAAAGTGGATTGAATTCCTTAAATGTGAGTAGTAGAATAATGCGTTGACAACAATGACTAGTGACAGCCTCAAGTGTAGTTTACATTTCAGAGAGGATAATATTCTGAACCCTCCATGGACTCTTTTAAAGGAAGCTATTTCTCTTCCAGTTCTGCTACACTACACCATTTTATACAATTGGAGACTTTGATGATGGTGATTTTCAGAATAGGCAGAGTATCTGTTGTACCTTGTAAGAAGTGTATGTTTTCACCTAAGGCATTGTAAGCACCTTTACATGGTAAATGGCAACTATGCTCCAGAAAAGGACTGACTACATGGGAACCAAAGGAGAACAACTCTGAGCGTTCTTCTAGTAATGGAGAATAAAGACGTTTTTACATAAGAAGTTAGATATTTATTGGGTATTTCACTTCTTTTTAACAAGTGCCTTGGTGATGATTTGGAAAATTATTGTTCTCTTAAGTGGATATTAGGCCTGAGGAGGAATTGATATAGACTCACCAGGCTTCAAAGCTCCAAATCTTCATTTGGCTTTTTCCTCAGAAATCTATTACATCACAGATACTATGCCCATGTTTTTCTACAGTGTATGTATTTCCTGCAGACTGTAAGAAATGCATTCTAGGTTTTTTCCCTGCTATTCTGCTCAGAGCTGTCTCTGAATCGTGACACCCCTTTATCCTGCTGTCTCCGCTCTTTTCTCTTTTGTGTTTCTGTTTGGCATGATCTCTGCCTCGTAGAACACTAGTTTGTTGCATATCATTTCTCATGCAGCAGCAAGGGAAACTGATTCGAGCTCATCGGTTTTATAGAGGAGGAGGATTGTACAGAGGATAGTAGATTACAGAGGTTACAATATGATACACTGTTTAATCAAACATGAAGCATTCTGATTTGTATCTCCGTGTGGGGTAAACCTGGAGAGGGTTATGCATTTGATTGTGTTTGTGTGTTTGTATCTGTCTGACTGTGGCTAATCTCACAAACTACTGGACCAGTCAACCTTATATTTTGTGTGCACATTTATGACTGTATGCTCAAGGATCCCTTGTGGTTGTGGTGATGCACAGCTGTTGGAAATCCTGTTTATGACTGTTTTGTACTGCCATTGACTGCTGACTCCTCTTTTTTCTTAACCAACCAGAAGGGGCCACACTTCCTGGACAAAATTACGTAGCAAAAGAATAGAGGAAAAGGCTTTTACGGCAATTGGCTGGGCTAGGAACACGGAGTCATACTGTCTGTTACAGGCTGCGTTTTGGCTTTTGTCTTGAGTCGTAAACTGACATCCACAGAAAAGTTTGATCTCATTTTGAGCTGGTGGCAGGTTAATTCTATACCCGATATGCTATGATCCACTGAAGTTAGGCACAATATAAAATGGAAAAATAACAATTTTGTTATCTTCACCACCATCTTGACTGCAAGGGAGCCAGGAGTGACAGTTCCTCTGCTCCAGCAGCTGCCTGGCAAAGATCTTTTGTAGTTTAAACCGTCAAATTAGCATTTTCTTGTTTGTTTTTTCTTTAACCATATGGACATCAAGTCAAGATATTTTTCCAAATATTTTTCTAAGACAGCATTCTTCGGGTCAAATTTTTGTCGCCATTGAGTAATAGACTAATTTTACTCAAAGACATGACTAGTCGAGTCAATTAAATTTATTTAGCCCAGTATCACAAATCACAAATTTGCCTGAAGGATCTCTACAATCTGTACATCTTTTGGCCTTAGCCCCTCAATTCAGATAAGCTAAAACTCCCCAAAAGACCCTTTGGAGGTAAAGCAACACAGTAGGGAAACCTCTCCCATGACGTGTTTACAGAATAGACCAACATAATAAAGTAACCGTATATGATTTAACTGTTCACTGTCTTTCTTTTTTTCCCAGACTTTGCAAGAGCTGTTGCAGCTCGGCCTATATCATATGCAGCAGTATTACGAATGAAACCAGACAGCTCGTCAGTGCTCAACTCGCGCAGCAGACCTCGACAACACCACAGTGGTGGGCTGGTGACTCCTGACTGGCCTGCTTTCTCCAGTCATCCCCTGTCAGCCCTGAGTCTGCTCAGCTCTCAGGAGGACTACAGGAGTGAAGGTAAAACTAATGGTGCGGTCAAACCTACAGTTTGTTTGCTCTTGTCTGAACCAAAATGGAAAAGTTTTGCTCTTTGGGTTTGCTTAAGTTCACACTTACAAACAAACTGTGCATAAAGGTAAAACACCCTAACAAATAGCTCATTAATGGTACAATTTGGAGACTCGTCTCCCTGCATATATTTCATCCGCAGCTTTAGCCAAGGATAATGAACACTTGTGTACACTTTGGCATAATTTACCCACTGTGGTGTTCATTAGTTAAGAAAATGGGAAGAGGAAGCTGAATATGATTATCTGTAAAGAGTGATTTGCCTTCAGTTTGTTTTGTCAGGAGTTATTGCTAGCTATAAAATGTCAGCATCTGCCTCCTTCTGCCAAGCGAGCTTTGCATTTTGGTTCTATTTCCCTTTATTAGTGCAGGATTACATTCTCAGCTCTGACCGACCGCCTTGTAATCACACCATGCAGGACTGCGACCTGAATTTTCAGGCAGTCTTATTGCAAATGGGAGGTGTCACTTGAGCCCAGATGACTTTGTTCTCACCTGCCAAAATGAAGCAAACTGAAAGGGTGGACACTTCAGAGTTGGAAACAAACCACTCCAAACATGTCTGGTGTAAATGCACTCTGCTATCTCTGCTCTCTGCCAACAGTCTGCCATCTCTGCCCTAGCTTTATGTGTGCAGGCTTCCTGCCTGTTTAGATCTGGTCTGGAAATGAATCTCACCTATCCATCATCACCGTGCAGGGTCTGCAGTGACCAGGGTCACGCCCTTTGTGAAATTGAAGTGGGATCATGGCAATATCCAGCCCTCTTTGTGTTCCTGTCAGTATAGAAACTATAGATATGATGGATATCTTTGTCAAAATGGAAGATTTAATATCCCAAACACAACGTGGAAACATACCATCATAAATCTACATTGGTTACTTGCTTACATCCTGACTGAATAATCTAGAGGATATAATGACACATTGATGCTTTAATATATGATTAATCATATCATGCTTATTGCATCTGGAGTGCTTAATTAATGCAAATCTGAAGTAGCTGCTGAATTAGCAGGAAGGATCCTGGCAAACACTGGGAACAATGACTTGGTAACGTTACAGTAAAAACAGGCAGAAAATAGGAATAACAATAAACTTTTTTCATTTATTTTTTTCTGTTTCACTCTATTTCTTTTTTTGTGTCCCCCTGCTGATCTTTCTGTCTTTCTTACTTTCTGACAGCATTATCACTATGTAGCCGTAAAATGACTTACATCTCTATAACCAAGGTGAGAGTAATGTCTCTCCATTGTCAGTGGTGACAAGAGCATTATACCATTGCACTGGATTGATGTTCGGTGGATGAAATGGATGCCAAAAAGTAATACACCTTCACTGGCTTAAATGGGATATTGCTTTTTTTGGCTCTGTGACTGACAGATGGCCATGGCACTTGAAGTTGAGTGATTTAAACAACTTCTATGCTTGTGTGTCTGTACTTCATACACACACAGACCATATGTCCTTAAGCACTGAAATCTGTTTCGTTTTTGTCATCCATCACTTTCATGTTGTCAGAGGGTCAAAACATTTTTTTAGGTGGACTCAGCTCCAGTAATTAAGTAATAATTAAGCGACGCGGTGTCCTAACAAACAGAATTACAGCAAGCTACGTCAACACCATCTATGTGCATGTCAGGGAACCTCCAGTTGCATACTTATACTACAGTAACTTACCATTTATATAAGATGTTTGTGCTTGAATTGTCCCTTTATCTGATTACTTTGATGTCAATGTAATCCACGGTTAGTTTCACCTGCCATCTGAAGCAGAAAGCACAGCCTTTTTCTGTCGCTCTCTGCAGATATATTAATAACTGAGACTTTAGATCGGGTTCAGCTGTGAGAGAAGTACAGTGCATTTAGAAAAGACAATGACAGTCTTTTTCTTGTTTTGGCTTTGTGCTCCTGCTCACTGGATTTAAAATGAAACAATAACTTTGAGGTTAAAGTGTTGAGTTTCAGCTTTAATTTGAAAGCTTTTACATCCACATCAGATGAACAATGTGGGAATTGTTGGCCTTTTTACCCTTCATACCTCAATTTTAGATCATATTTAATGATATATAATTCTTTGAAGGTAATGACTGCCTGTCTATGACCCACACACATTAGCAGACATTTGGTATGTTCCCTCGTGATGCTCTGCTGGGTCTTGATAATTCCTTGTTCAAACTGAAACCTTATTCTTTTATTAGAAATAGAAATAATTTTATCATACATCATGGCCCAGCAGCCAGGTTGAGCATACTGGTATTGCTGAATGTATGTGCTGTAGGGAATTAGACGGAGAAATATAGAAAATGTGCCCCCCTGCTGGTGACAACCATAGCCGGGAGGCATTTTTTTGTGGTTGTCCATCCGTCCATCTGGTACATTATTGTGAATGCAATATGAAAAGAATTGCCTGCATTTGAGGCAATGCATTGCCTCAAATTTGGCACAAACATCCTCGTAGACTCGACGATGAACTGATTAGATTTTGGTGGTTAAAGGTCACTGTGACCTCACAAAACACATTTTTGGCCATAACTGAAGAATTGATGTGCGATTTATGACAAAATTTCACAAACATTTCTATTTGGCTACGATAGGTTAGGAATAGGAATTGGCTACAATTCAAAAGGTCAAAGGTCATCTTCACTGTGACGTTGTAATGTTCTGCAAAAACACTTTCTGGCCATTATGCTACGCCATACCTCCGGAACAGCAGAGAAGACATTCGGTCGGATACTGACAACTTTTTCTCATTTTCAGATACTCGTCAAATACTGACGCTTTGTCTTGCCCACCAGCATCTCATAGCTACGCACAGGGTATCTTGTAGCATATCTCTGTGATGCATTGCAGAAACTATTAGGCAACAATGCTACTTGGTTAGGATTAGAAAAAAGAGTAAGCAGGTTTGTTACGTAGCATAAAGTAAGTAACGTAAATATGTCATCTGATCGACAACAGTGCGCAACAACAGCACAAAAATGATGTAACGTTACATCAAAATAGTGACTTTTGGTTTCACACAGGATGTAGGTGATGTAACATTATTTTAAAACAACGCTGACACAAGCCTCCACCCCGTCCACCTTACTCTCCTTATACTATGTCAGTTGCTCTGAGCATCATGTGTTGCCGCAAATGGGTTTACATTGAAGTGAATTGTGAGTGAATTTAAAGGCCTGTGCATCAAATAAAGTTGCTAAAAGGTGCCTTTGGTGTCAATATGACATGCCAAGGGGCGTGACAAAGTGGCAATATTTGACACCCATTTGAATGAGAACTGTATGATACTGAACTGGTGACACTAATCTTTGGTGTCCACCTTAAAACTGTGGTGATTGTATAGACTATCTGTGCTGTCAGCTGAAGATGTGTGTGAAGAATCCATGTATTAGAATATGTAGCTCCTTTGCAGCAGCATCCACATCTGAAGCACTGTCTGATGTCATAAGAGTCTGGGCAGACGGGAACGTAAACTGCGACTCATCTGGTTGACGGAGGCACACAACTGTGAGGCAGTAATTTTAGTTTAGCACTAGAAACAGTACAAGCACTGAATTGCTTTGCTTTATATGCACAGCAAGGTTTGCAACTTAATATCGGTTCATTTTCCTCCACTGATTAGGGTATTATTTCAAAAGCTTTTTATTTCCCTGCAGAGCAGTAAATTGCTGACAAAGGGTTGCTGAGATTATACATACCCTGAGAAAAAAGCCATGATTCTTTTTTTGTCATCAGATCATTCCTAAATAGTGAGAAGTACTCAAGACTGGTGACTTGCATTGTTTTATTACTGTATTTATGCACCCAAATAAAACGCTGCCCAAACCTAAATTCTCACTCCAGTGACATCTCTTTAAACAAAGAGCATAAATATCTATATACTGTTTTCAGCTGCTGTATTCTGCCTTCACAAACGCAAAGAGCACGTCACTTATGATCTGTTTACTGCGCTGTTATTCTCTATAAATCTCATAGACAAAGAAAAGAAACACAAGATTCAGCTGTCGGTTGTCTGAGATTCTGAGATGCAATTTACCTGAGAAACCCTCCACAATAAGTGCATCGCTTCTGTGTTAACAGAAGGTTAGATCAAAGAGTGGAGAACTCTGAAGGAACAGAAGAGAATTGCAACAGGGACTGTCAGGCAGAAAATAGCAGACCAACAAGCATATCGATATGTGGGTGCATTTGTGCCGAGGAGAGTTCAAATCTTACATGAGAACCACTTTAAATTACCAGCGAGAGCACTTAAGATCAAGAACCAGCGTGGTGGAGTAATACTTGCACTGTATGTATTAAATAGCATTTCACACACTTTACATTCTGTAAGGAACCTTTCAAGGAAATTATTCATTTGTTTATTTGCTGTAGTCGTGGCTTGGACCTACTGGGATAGGGTCTGGGTCTATAGTAGTGTTTCTATTTTATTTTATTGTGTCCTAATTATATTATAAAAATGTCTCTCAATTTTATGTTTACACTTCTGACAATATTTGAATACATATCAATGCAAAGAAAATGCAGCTATTGATTTTGTCAGTGATTATGTGGATCTCTCTTTCTCTCTTTCCATGTATCTGGACATGTATGTGATAAATCTTGTCCCAAACTTTGCATTAAAACCTATTTTACAAGGGTGCTCTGATTTCAATGTCCATGTACCTTTCCATTTTTCATGACCATAGTTATTACCAACTGCTGATAATGTATAGCGTCCTATTTTTATCTGTGTCCCATGTGCACTGCACCCTTCCAGCCAAAAGAAACAACACAAGTCTGGCAGCACTCCCTCCATGTGGAGCAATTGATGGCAGATCATCAGTGTTCCAAATGCCAAATTTCTATACATTTGGGAACAAGCACTATGTTATAGATGTTATGAGTAATGCAATATTGATGCACAAAGACAGGAGCTGTTTAAAGTAGTTGAATTTACCAGTGTGTGAGTCCCAGTCCCAGATGGGAGAATCTTTTGTGAATAATATTTTTACTGCTTGTTTTATTTCTTGTAATTTTGCTTGTTGAGGTTGTTCTTCTAAAAAAAAAAAGGCCTGCCACAGACTATTAGGAGAACAGTTAACAATGTTGGAGCGCTGACAGAAAAAGAAAAGATTGTGTTGTTGCATTTTCTCCCTGACAAGTTAAAAAACCAGCCTCTTATCAGTGGTCAAATTATTCTGTTGAAGGACTGAAATAGATGACTGTGAAGAGATGAGAAATACTATGTTGGCACTAGATATACCAACAGGATTTTCCTTATGTTATCCCTCACCTTACGTATGTACCACTAGATACCATTGTTTATGAATTGAGGTCATCGTGGGAAACAAGCCATAGAAACAGCAGATGTGTTCACAGCCGAGTTCGGCCAAGAAATATTACTGCAAAGCTAGGACCCAGTGGGTTAAGACTCGTGTTAACAGCATTGTTGGCTCATCACTTGGCACCTCAAGGCAAACAACAGCGAGTCCAAAAGATGTACAAGTAATTGGATGATAGCTTCAGGGTTGAGCTTAAAGGTGTGACATTTCAAAAAAAAATCCACCATACGTCCAACCAGGTTAACTGTATCATCACAAAGGATCATGTCTAACTTAAGAAGTTGTTATTTCTCCTTTAAAACTACCTCCAGGCTTTCACTGTGAAAGCAAATTCTGACTCTGGCTTTTAGGATTACTGGAATGCTTTTCTAATGTTGTGAAACCAGATCAGATATACAATACAACACAACAATATCATCACCTGTCAGAAAGCTGTCGTCTGCCGCAGAATGTCACACCATTTGTTGTAACAATCTAATTTGTGGAGCTGTGCGTTCACCTTTTCTCTTGTTTCCTATAATAGAGCTTGGTAGGAGATATATGCACTTGCACTAACCAATCTGGGGAATAATAAAAAAAGTAATTGGATGTTAAAACAGAATGGCGCTCATGTTGTGATAATTGCAATCATCCTTGTCTTTATCTCTTTTTTCCCTCGTAGAAAGTGAAGAGTATGGGCCTGTTTTCCTCCACGAGCCAGACAATGTTATTTTTCCTTTGGATTCGGATGAAAAGAAAGTGGTGATGCACTGTGAAGCACGGGGAAATCCACCACCCACATACAGGTGTGACATATATTTGTCTGTCTTCTAATTGCGGCCCTACTTTCACAGCTCATTAGCATGTCATTCATCACAATAGCATCTCCTGTTCTTATGTTTTTCAGTTGGTACATCAATGGGACGGAAGTGGCTGCAGAGGCAGACTATCGCTACAGCTTCATCGATGGAAACTTAATTATTACCAATGCAAGTGAGGTCACTGACTATGGGAAGTACCAGTGTAAAGCAGAGAACAGCTTTGGGACCGTCCTAAGTCGAGACGCTCTGTTGCAGTTTGCATGTAAGTAAACTAAAATTTAATAATTCAAACATTTGTGCAATACACGAGGTCTTAAAATGTATTTACCATACACTCTAGCATGTAGCTGTGTATGTATGTGTTTGAAAAGTGTACATTTTAGTTTGTCAAACTTATAGGGGTCTCATACGAGCCAAATAATTAGCTCCAAGCTTTTTGTCTCTCTGCGTTACAATAAACCTTTCTGGTTCCAGGGGTAAATAAACACTACGCAGGCTACAGTAAGGTTTTTGTTGCTGAGTTTAGCTCCCGCCGGCTCCATCTGATACTGTTGCGTTGCACTGCTAACAGGGTATGTGCCCTCAAATGCCACGTCTCAGTGGTAAATGAGAGCAAAAAGCACATTTCTTCCCCAGTAATCCCCTGGCCTAACTCCAAAACATCATCACAGGCTAAGGCAACACACACACAGAGACCAGGAGCACTGTGCTCAGAGGAAAATGCATTGTTGGTTTTTCGCTATAGTTTCCTCAGGAGCAATGACCATAATTGCCTTATTGGCATGTCTTCGGGGAGCTTACCATTCTCACTCTCTGCTATGTTGCTAGAAAGTATAGTGCATGGTCTCATGTGTTGTTATGGGGACTTACAGTTGTTACAGGAATTACTGAGGAAACAAATGGCCAGATTAGCCCGAAACTATGTAAACGGAAAGAATGACTTCTGTTTTATAAAAGCACTTTTTTCTTCAGGCAAACAGAACCAAAGGTTTTTCTTTCTGCCCTTTGTTTTGTTTTGTTTTCCCTTCACAAAGTTTCACATATCAGAGTGATCAAAAAGTGGACAAAAATCAAAAGAAGACCTAAATTAAATATAAGCCAGACTGCATTGGCAGGCAGAAATGGCCAGATGGTAAAGCACAGACATGCGCTTCAAAAGTGCCGCTAGTTTCTGAGGGACAGGAGCTGCACCTCAACATTTACACTCATCTGTCCTCTCAACTGTCCAGATCTTTTCCTCCCCCTCTCTCCACTTGAGTGTCAAATCTCTATGTAAAAAAAAAAAAATGAGCATGAGGCTTTTTCTGTGAAAAATTGACCTCGCATGAAAATGAGCAATGTAACATGTAGGCACTCATTTATTAGTCGAAGATTCAAGCTGAGACATGGGCAGCTATTTTTAGTTTTGCATAAATACTGTGCATTTGCTTGGCACTATGTTATCCATCAGATTCATAGTAGCGGTATGTAATATTGTGGCATGGTACTTTCCTAATTTTTTTGTTATATGGAATCAGTGTAATGTGTTGCAGTGCACTTTCTTTATTGCACATTTCATCTGCTGCTGTATCTGAAAGACTGAGATGACTGCAGTTGCTCATTCTGCCCCACTTAAAAAAAGCTTAGTGAGTCACAGATGTACAGTACAGATGTACAGAATTGCACTGTAATGTTGATTGATGATTGATGATTAAAGCTCAAACCTAATGCTTACTGTATAAAGAGTGACATTACACTGGAAAGTCAAGCTTTCCTTTTCAACAAAGGTCAGCTTTTGAAGTAAATAACATAGCTACTTAAGAATCTTAGTCTATCACCTTAGGATGCACCATCTGCAATAGCTGCATGATCCTGGCTTCATTTTGAAGTAAATCTGAAGTAAACCAACATTATCTCTTGAAATCCAGATCAGTTCTTTTCTCTTTTTTTTTTTTTTTTTAACAATTTAGTCTACAGAGATATGTGCATCTTTGGTCCCCATTACTATGTCCTTGGTAGATTTTTTTTTCCACCACAATTTCCATTAGGTCTTAAACAAGCAGCAACCTCAAGGGCTGAAAAATGGAGCCAATGCAGATGTGCAAAAAACTGCAGTTCCTCAAATGGCCACTTGAGGCTGACTCTGGAAATGAGTCAGTCCTCATAAACCCTAATGTTAAAATATCAAACTTTAAAGCAGAAATAAACATGTTTACAGCCTAGTTCAAAAAAAGTTTAGGTCTCTGTAGCTTATTTCAACTTTGAAGTGTTCAGGGACTGAAAGTTCATATATTTCACCCATTACATTTTATTAAGGCTTAAAGTCAACATATTTAAAGCAACACTTACCTTTCAGGAAATTTTACGCTTTTCTTTGTTAAGGTTAAAATGCTATTAATAAGCTGATGGCACACTAAAATGTAAGTGAATTCCACCAGAGATAAAAACTCATAATTGTACCATTCCCATATGGTTCTAAGAAAACTCCGACCAATCATTGCATTCGGTGAGCATCCTGGCTGTCTTCCCCACGTGGAGGCCTCCGACTGACTTAACCGCTCGCGTAACATCTCTCCTCTTTACGTTATATTGTAGAACTCATCAATCATCACGGACCCCGGATAAGTTTCAAAACTCCGGGGTTGCGTTTGACTGTGCAGGATAGGTAACGTTATGTTTAGTTTGCTTCTAATATGACATATAACGCTATATGACAACACAGCATCCAGTTGCTAATGGCTAACGTTAGCCTACTGTAGCGTAGCCTCTGAAATGTTAACGTTATCTTCCTTGTGTGTTTCCACTTAATAGTAACGTTAACCCTACTATCTAACGTTAGCACTGTAACCTTATTCTAAAACTCATCAGTCATCACTGACTCCGGTTGAGTTTTAAAACTCCGGGGTTGCGTTTGACTGTCTTGGTTGTAACGTTACACTCGCTCTCCTCTTCCGTGTATCTTAAGTTACCTTGCCAGCGTAGGCCTACGTCTACCGTAGACGTAATGAGGACATAATGGAGGAGGGGGGAGTAGGCCTTTGGAGGGAGGTGGAGTTGCAGGAGGAGGAGGATGGGACTTTGGAGGGAGGCGGGAGTTGTGGATGTTCAAATTTTTTCTAAGTGCTGTGTGAATGCAAGAAAGGTAATAGTCGCTTTAAGGGCAGGCCAATGGAGTGACAGGCTGCCTGGGAGGCAGAACACAATCTATAGGTGTGTTACCATCCACATCTTTTATACGCATTTTGAACTGATGCATAAAAACCCCTTAATGGAAATGTCAAAAAAGTTTTTATGCTTCGGGGAAGTGGAAAAGTCAGTGTAGTGATAAAAGTTATCTGCAATTAAGTGGTATGGAAACAGATTCAGTGAGTACATGATGATGTATAGTCCTGACGCATCATCATTGCATAGGCCACTGCAAGTGTTAGTTGTCATCCCTGGATGGCTTTAACACAATTATGCACACAGGGCTGTTAGCAGAACTCTTCTAAGAGCACATAGCTGTGATAGTACTCGTTCAAAATGCTATATTTCCATTGTCCAGTGTGCTCTATGTTATTATACACCCATTGTTTTCCTTTATATGGGGTTTGACTGGCCCTTTTGTTCTGTAGTTGTATAATGGTACGTGACTAGAGAATAGGCGCCACCCACTGCCAACTCCAGTGGGTGAACTGAACCAACTCCAAATATTTGTGTAACAGTAATGGATGGAATAGCACATGAATTCGCACTTTATTTTGCAGATTTTCTGAAAATTTGGTTAAAATTAGTGTCACATTTGGATGGAAAAACAACTCGTGAGTCAGATCCACCTCTTCCTCATCCACAGCTTCATTCTCTCGTCCAAATATGGTCACTTCTGGCCAAAATGCCAAACTCAAGGCTTCAAAACAGCAGTCCACAGACCAATGGCTGACATCACCATGGCTATGTCAATTATTTTTATACAGTCTGTGCTCTTGAAGCATTAAGGCTTAAGCAGGGTGTCTGTTTGGGGTCATGTTTGGTTGATTGGCAGATGTGTCAGCTGAGACGATAGCCACTTGTTTGTCACACATCAGCTTCACCCTTTGGCCACCTTTGCACGAAATTGGATTTTCTAGTTCTAATAACAGACAGGCCAGTCAGTATCCTGTTGTTGGGGGCGTGACAGGGCGTAATGTGGAAAGATGCAGCACAGACAGACTGCACCAAGTTTGAAGTATTACAGGAGAAATAGTCTATAATCTACTATAAAATGATATCATTAATATTCCACTCTGTTGCCAAATCCCATCATTTCCAGGCGGTGCGGTATAGTAGCAAATTTTCTGTGGCCTGGGGGTTTGCAGCCCCAGCCCTAAAATATCACTCACTGAATAAACATGTGTGGCTATCTCAGTTGTACTATTGAGTCAGCAACAAATCCCACATGTCACCAGCTGTTGTTGTGTTAAGGTGGGAGGATTTGTGACTTTCTGGTTACGGTGGAACATAGTGTCACTACACCATTAAAGACACACTGAAACGTTTGTGTGTTCTACTTGTGGATATAGTTAAAATAGTGTTTGTAACAGCAATTCAAATATTAATTTAAAAAAAGTACAGGAAATGTAATATTTTATTTTACATAAACAGGCATTACTTCAAATCTTAGTGGTTTATATCACTGATTAAAAAATGCAAATTCCTCATTAAAAAAAGTATATATACATATATATATATTTTCTAATAAAGCTTAAATTGACGTGAGAGCTCTTGAGTTATTGCAGCCTCCTGGATTTCACTAAGCTGCCTTCAGAAAACCTGTCTAGTCATTTCATCCTATGACCACATTTATTTTCCCTTTCCATTTCATCCCTGGCTATTTAGTGTATAAAGTGACACATTTCTGTGACTGTTTCTTCAGCTTTATGTAGTGCAAATATTCAACGGCATCAATGTGTAATAGCCTCGTACTCCATCTACGTTTCTTTGAAATGTGACCCTTCAAAGGGCCAGCCACAGAAACAAAGAGAGGTGCCCTGCAGCACACATTTGGATGCAGAACCTTCCCTCTCTCTTTCAGCATAACAAATGGTGGGTATTTATCACTCAGCGTGGAGCTCAACTTTTTCCTCCCTTCTCCTGTTGCCACCGCACATATTCATGCCTTGACACGGTTGTCAACTGCTTTAACTAGTTCTGATGCACATGAGCAGTTCTTTTCCTCATGAGCGAAGTGTTTTAAAGAAGTTATTACAGGCTTTTTTATGGTGGTAAGACTCAAAATAGACTGATGTACTTATTTCAATTGTGTTC